GACCATTCTACATCCAGAAAGACATACATACATAAGTGCGAAGATCTTGACATGCTGGCGGGCAGGTATGCATCATGAGAATCCGAAAGCGAAGCAACTATAAATTTGTTTCAGGACTGAGTCTAGTTCTTGCAGAGGCGAAGATGGAAATCTGGTTACAAACGTGCAGAGCTTTTGAATGGCAGCACAATTGGCGCTTTTGTGGAAGAGGAACCCAAGTTAATATACATATACATTGGAACTATGCTTACACCTCTTGGGTCTACCAAGACGAGATAAGTAAATATAGCAACTACATATGAATTTTACAAACAATAGCCGCGCCACAGGCGGGAACTAAATAGTTCTATTCTGCATTGCTTTTCAAGAATTTCAGTTTAGTCCGAAATTTGAAAATTCAATGCATCACAAAGCGGCTACCACAATAATCGCTCGAATCCTGGAGCAGAGGAAAGAATTTTTTCTAGTAATTTGTTTGCCTTAATTATATTTCAATTATTCGAAGAAAAATTTAGGTATAAATCATTCACAATAACTTGAGTTATTTTTTAATTAAAAAAAGTCCAACTAAACGTGAACAATTGCGCAAAATATTATTCCCAAATAATTGGAATTTATTTCGCATTCCTACATAATTTTTTGAATTATGTTCAGTGTGTAAATTGAGTTGAAATCAACCACAGTGAATTCAATAGACCAAGCGTACCAAGCAAAGCTGTGCGCATAGAAATAAATAAAATGAAAATCCTAGTTCTTTATGCAGGCAGCAATAATTTCACTGCTGCCTAGTTAATGTCCCATTCTATTTGAATGTGTAAATATGATTTGCTTTGCTTTGCCCGCAATGCTGTCTATTGTCCGCGTAGGCAAATGAATTCCACACAAATACTAAAATTATAAATTGTAGATACGGTGCCTCTGCTCTGACGTGCCACTTGCCTCTGCCCACTCATGGCGGCATACACATCTGCGCTATGCATGTAATTTCTTGTCAAAACTGCTGCATAAATTATGTCAGTTGGCAAAACATGTCGAGCTCCCAGCTGTCATAACTCTTTCTGACGCTTTCCCTCAATCTCGTCAATTTAAAATTATTTAAATTTGTTTTCTGCTTTGCTATGAATTTATCATTTTGCTGGATTTTATTTTTCAGCATTTACAGCTATGCTTTTAATCCTGTGAATTGTTGTTTGGGTATAGGGAGTGTACTATAAGGACATATGGTTCGACGCCATTTTCATGTCAGTATTTTGTTATTGGTGGAGGTCTGTTGGTCTGCTGCTTAGTTTCATTTCAGTTTCATAGTTAATACTTTTGTGACGGAGTCATAGAAGTGGCTAAAGATTAGAAAGCCTCAAAATTTGACCGTATGAAAACTTTGAGAAAAGTTTTGTGTTTTATAATTATATTAGTTAGGTTAAGGCTAATTGGCTGACTGTAACTTTATTGAAAACCAGAGAATGCCGTAAAAAGCGATAGGGGAACAAGACAACATCGCAAGGGGAAGTTCTCTCGCCGTTACTTTAGGTCGTTGTAATCAATGACCCAATGACCTGCTGGTGGCTCTGGAAAGAAGTGGCTGTCGGGTGGTTGCCTACGCCGATGATGTAGTATTGATAACAAAAGCAAAGTTTCCGGAAACGCTGTTTGAGCTTATGCAGGGTTGCAGTAAATCGGAGCTTATTCTCTTTACGAGGAGGTATAAGATACCGAATTGCCGTCGTACCTCAATGGGTAGTCTTCCTCTATGGCTCTCTGACAGGGTGAAGTACTTGGGCTTGATCCTTGATAGTAAGCTTTCCTGGAAGCCTAACGTAGAGGAAACTATAATCAAGCCAATCTCATTATATGGGGTACTCGTCTGGTGGAACGCACTTGACAGGATCTACACCGTCAAGCAGCTGGAGAAGGTGCAAAGAGCTGCCTTAATTGGAATCAGTGAGGCACTTCGAACACCTACTCTTGCGCTTAATGCCATGTTAAATGTTGTGCCTATAGATATAGCTGGCAGGGTCGCCGCTGCGCGTGCCGTAGCAAGGCTAAGAAGGGTGGGCTTCAAGTTCACCTCAAGCTATCGGCACTCCAGAATTCTAAGAGACTCCGGGTTACTACCGACTCGGACAGACCACTGCACGCCGGTTCTGTGTCCGAATAGATCTTTTACCACCCATATTCTGGCGAGGGGAGACTGGGAGGGGTGCAGTATCTGGACTCGAGAACCTGTAAACTTATTTACAGATGGATCGAAGCTGGATGGGAAGGTGGGCGGAGGTGTCATCTGCGAAGAGCTCTCCATCAACCTGAAATTTAGGTTACCGGATCACTGTAGTGTTTAGCAGGCTGAGGCGCGATAAACGAGGTTTCGGATTGATTGCTCTCTAGTGTAACATCTATTAAGGAGGTTAATATTTATTCTGACAGCCAATCAGCCATCAGGGCTCTTGGCTCCCTGACGGTGCGTTCGAAAATGGTGCGGCAGTGTTTGAGTTCCCTATCGACCGCGTCTGATTATTTTGCTATTAAACTTATTTGGGTTCCAGGTCACAGCGAAATCGCTGGCAACTGCATGGCTGATGAGCTTTCAAGACAGGGAACCCTCGAGGAATTACTTTCGGATCGGGAGGGTCTGAGGGCTCCCCTGACCTCGTGTGTGATCTGCTTCTGGACAGATGGGTGTTTAGTCAGGCATTCACACGCAGCGGCACAATTAGTCTCACCTTTGCCAAGATTTAGTGGAGCATCAACTAGTGTTCTGGGAGGGCGAATGCAAATTGAAGAACCGAACCGAACCGAACCGAACCTTTGTACCCATCGAGTCTCACAAAGCTGCACAATTTTCTACAATGAACGAAACAAAGAAATTCAAATGTAACATAGTACGGCCACCAGATTTGTTTGAGTCTATAATATAAACATAAATATGTATAATAACACAGTGCAACACTGAAAAAGTGATGGGAATGAGATCAATTGCATTTATAAAATAAATAATATAAAAAAAACTTTTTAATATACAACGCTTTTATAAATGGACTAAAAAGTAGAAAATAATATTTCTCAGTCCCATAGAATTTGTTTTGATAACTTTTGATTTTGAAATTTTAGCAAAAGTCATTATAAACAATCTATGAAATTGAAAATGAAAAACGTGGAGCGCATGCAATACAAAGCATTCGATTTAATTGACAATAGTCAAACTACATAACGTAGACCTAAAATTTCTACAGCGAAAGTAGAACTTTGAAATAGATTTTAAGCGGTCGTTATTCATATACCCACATACATACATACATATATTACTTTTCATATCAATTCAAGTGTATTACATGCGCCCCACGCTTTTCATTTTCAATTTCATAGATTGTTTATAATGACTTTTGCTAAAATTTCAAAATCAAAAGTTATCAAAACAAATTCTATGGGACTGAGATATATTATTTTCTACTTTTTAGTCCATTTATAAAAGCGTTGTATATTAAAAAGTTTTTTTATATTGTTTATTTTCTACTTTTTAGTCCTGTCTGAATAAAATTTTGCAATAGATATTAAAATAATCCAACGATATTAATAGAAAGGTGCACCACATGCATTTACATATGTATGTACATACAAACGAGCACCAATTAATTTTATTTAAAGAAATGGCGTGTCGTCTATTTCCGCTGTAGCAAACGTAGTACATAGGGCGACATCTAGATGTCATCTACCTCGCCCTATTCACTACAGCTGTCGCCCTATGCACTATGCTTTTTTATAGGAACTTTTCAAAGCTTTGCTTTGGTGTCGGACACACAACATTGAAAGTTTCTGGATCCACAACATTGAAAGTTTCTGGACGCACAACATTGCAAGTTGATAAAAGCGTTGTAAAAAGAGGTCAAAATATGAATAAATACCAAAGAATTTGTAAAAGTTGGTTCCCATTTCCTTTTTATATCTATTTGAAGTTGTGAATTTAAGGTTCAAATATAAACCAGTACAATGATTTATTTTTGATTTCGCTCACAAATTGCATCCCTACATATACAATGTATATATATGTATATTATACAATTTTTTTAGTTTAACATTGAGCTGTGCAAAAAACTCCTGCCATCCCCTCCCCTTCGGAAAATGTGTTTTTACATTATACGTTCTCATTGGGATCTCACTTCTCCAAATTCAAATTGAGATAAAAAATAAATGGCAACCAACTTTTTCAAATCCTTTGGTACTTAGCCATTATTTGATCAGCTTACTCAAATGCTGTTGGTCCGATTGCCATCACCTCCAACTTTTTGAAATTTGTTGCACAGTGTTATCTATATTGTTTGTGTAGTGTGTCTATTATGGTGGGTCTAATATCACTTTGGAATTTGCCAAATTGCGAAAATATGTTTCTTAACATTTTGTTGTACTGTCGTAGAGAAGTGCTTAAATTTTATATAAAAACATGCTATAAGAGCTTTTTTTGGCATGAGAAACCCATTTCTGCACTTATGTATACTTTTCTTAAAACTTCCATGAGAGGTCACAACAGTGAACATTTTCACATTTTCTTCGAAACCTCTTTTCGAAATTTGGCAAACTCCAAATTGCTTTAAGACCCATCGATTCTTCGGATATTTGCTTCAAATTGCACCTAGAATTCTCCTATGCTATACGCCCTAGTGTATATACATATTTACTTTAAAATATTATATACATACATAGGCACATATTTAAAATATATATAAACAAGTACGCACAAATGTGGGATCAAAGACACAAAGTTGATATAATTCCATAAACAGATAAGAGAAACTGTCTACCATTTTGGCATAATTACCGCTTATCTCGCTCGATGGGAGTAAACACAAATATTTGCGAATACAAAATGCTAATTGTGACCACCAGAGAGCAATTAATGACACGACGAAAATCGCTTATCGCTCATCGCTTATCTAATGTCAACAATGACAGAGAAACCAAACAAAAAGTCGATGAAAATAAAGCATCTTATTCGACAACCTTCAGCTTCACCTGATTTTCTTTATTTCACAAGCAACTTGCCAGTGGACAGCATCATTACTTACTGCTGAACGTGCTGCACAAGAAGGAGAGTAATTTTCCAAAGGCTACGACTGGAGGAGAAGTGAAGCTAAAAAATCTTGAAAGTCGAAATTGATTTAGTGACCATGTGTGACAAATCGCTGCTGCTCTATAAAACTGCAACTGTAACTGCCGTTGCCATTGCGGTATTGACGTTGGTAATATTAGTTGGAATTTTTGGTTTTCACAAAACTTTTCCAATTTCTTTTAAATTAACTTTTTTTTTGTTTTCTTACTTACCAAGTGTGTTGTGATGCCTGCTGCTGCTGCCAACTCGTACGTGAGCCGCAGCGATCCTGGGGCGGCGGCTGCATCAACGCTGGAGAATCTCACCATTGCCGCCGAGATGGCCGAGTTCAGGAACGGTGCGCTGATAAAAATCGATAACTTCCTGCAATATTCGCTGCCACAGAAGATGCGCGCCGAAGGTGAGGACATACGTGCTGAAACAGTGCAGGAGTTCGACCGTTGCGCCCAGTTGGCGACAAGCAGAGAGGAGATTTGGCGTTTCAAGGAATGTGCTGGCAAAGTGTTGGGCAATTCGATGAAATCTCTAGCGTTGTTGGTCGAACAGGCGCATAGAGGTAGTGGTGCGGCTGCATTGGGGTCGCATGCGTTCTGGTGGAGTTTGTTGAAATTAGTTGCATTTATTTGAAATATTTTTGCGCTCATAATCAGTTATGTGCACAAGTTTATGCGAGTTTGTGTCTGTTAACTTAACACATTAATACCCAATGCATTTGATGCAACGTTTCTAGACTTTTTTTTTGTTTGTTTATTATTTCGAATCTCAGTTGACCAATATATATGTATGACGACATTATAAAAATAAAGTTCATTTATTATTTTTTTTATTTTTAATAATTTTCTTTATTTTATTAATCTTTTCTAAGCAAAACTACTTTACTCTATAATATATCACACATTCTTAAATATCTAAATATTTTATTTTTCTGTAGACCAAATAAATAAATAAATTAATAAAAAATTAATTTGAAAGAAATGTGAATTTTTGTAGAGATAGATCTCGCGGACCGCATGCTCGCGGTACAATTCTGAAAAATTTCTGGGGTTCGGAACTTGTAAATTGAATTTCGGGATGAGCGGGATCGGCACTTAATATTTAGTCCCAAGCCCATTTCTACTCACAATCGTTCTAGAGAGATGGTGACGGGTTTAAATAAGTAAATATTTTTGTGAACAGCGACTTGTTTATAAATATTGTTATAGATTTGGATAAAATAAGTAGCAACGCATACTTTTGAAATATGTCACTGTGTTTTTATAGATAAGTCTTTGTTTGATTACCGTTTGAAAACATCGTTTTAGATTATTTGAATATATAAAATAATTTTATATTTAAAAAAGATTTTGTTTTACTTCCGGCTCCTATTTTAATTTATAATGATATGTTAAATATTAAACAATCTAGTTATGATTAAACTAGCCGCACTCTGTTGTACCCTTTTGAGCTAGGGGCTACAAATCAAGACGCTGAAAAAATAGATAATGTATTTTTAAATCTCAGAATGAATATCAAGTCATAATTTACAAAAATTCAGTTTTATTGCAATTTCTTTTTCAAAAATTTCAAGTCGAAAAAAATTCATTGAACAACAATTGCATTGACACAAAGTCAATCAAGGAGTTATAAGAAATAATATAAACTAAATAAATAATTTTGCTCGGCTACATTGGCAAAATACCCCTATGTGCGCCGGCTAAAACATAATTAAAAATCAACGCGAGTTCTTAGCTGCTTGAAAGTTGAACTTTCGTTTTTTTCATATTTTTTAAATATAAATTTTTGTATAACGTTTGAGAATTTGCCTGCCAAGGGGCGACCGTTGTTAAGAACAAAAACCTATTTCTATATTTTTTGCAATGTTGCTTTAACTAGTGCTTGAACCCAGGCCCTGCAGAGTGGAAGCGCGCGCTGCTTACCACGCTGTATTTCAATGTGCCTTACAAAGGATAGAGGGACATTTTTCAAAAGATGGAAAGTTATCTAGAACAACATTTTGACATACCGTCATGCTCATCAAATGCAACATAAAAATGTTAACCACACAATTTCTGTAAGATTTCAATAGACTTTCAGTTGAGAATCAGCAACAGAGCATCAAGAAATCAACAATGTTTCAATATTGCTGTAATTATTAAGTAGCTCGAACACACCCAATGTCAGATGAAAGAGATTTAAGAAGATTTTAGTGAGAAAATAATTTTGGAAAGGATTTCCACTTGTATGAAAAGGATATTTTAGTTAACTTTTAGGCAAATCTTATGAAATATTAAAATATGCGCGTCAATCTAAAGAGATTTATGAAAGCTTTAGTTTGAAAATATATTGGATTAGGCCATTTTCCCACGGCATCCTGAATTACTTATGTATTTCGCTCCCCCAAACATGATCGCGAATTACCCATTCAAACGGTCACATTCTTAGTTCGATTTGACAGTTCTTTGTTTCGGGGTTTTGATTTTGTTTTCTTCGCGGCAAAATTAATGCAAAATATAGGTTCTTTTTAAAAAATGTATAAGTTTCCATATTAAATTGGGGATATACACATTTATTAACTTTACTTTTCGTACTCAGAAAATATGCAAGTTCTGATTTGTGAGCTAGTTTCGATAAATTTCCGATAAAAATTAGCGACGGCACCGATTTGTTCGTAATTCGCATGATAATTGGATCTGAATTACCAACAAATGAGGTAATTCGCTCTCAAAATTGTGTATGGCGAATTACGGAATTCGAAGGGCAATTGGAATGCGAATTACGAATGAGAGAGCGAACTACGTACTTGGAGTGCCGTGGGAAAGTCGTAGTAGGCTTGCCACCTAGTAATTATTATTATTTATATTATTACCAACAGAAACATATATCAAAATGTTTTAGATATTTCAGATTACAAAAATAAAACAGTTAAGAGTAAAATACGGAAGTATTTCCGACCAAGATGGTCTTGAAGGTCATTGGTAAAAAATATATTCGTGGAAATAAAAGCTGTTTTTCTAAGACTTTGATGAAATTTTGGCTATTTGAATTAAAATAAACTAAAATTTATCTAAACATTTTTAATGAATTTTTCGTAAATTTAGCGGATGAATGCTTAATACTTTACCATCTTTATCAAGCCACCATTTTTCCGATTTTAATGCGTAGCTAAAATGTACCAGCTATTACTTTTGGTTTAATCTTTTTATATAATCAAGAAACCATCTTGCCATTTTAGGTGGAAAGATCTGTTTAAAAAATCCATTATTTCACCCTTTTTAGCAAATATGAAAGGAGATTATTACACCTACACCACATTGCAGCAGCGCCACTCAACATCGCTGATTTGCTGCCACGCTTTGCATTAGCGTCATCGACGACTCTTCTGCATGCCACGCATAAGTCAGCGAAAAACAACCACATAGTATTTACGACATACCTCAGTGCAACATGCAACACATATCACTGCAGGTGCAACAACGGAATAGCGGCAAAATATGTATTTATTACTCGCAGCGCTTGCCACGAACAGGCAACAAAATTAACAATGAACAATACAAATGTTGCTTGTAAATGATGCTCGCGGTTGCCAATAAATGCACAACACTTGCATTATGCACTGAGCCACATGACGTATACGTACTCGTGCATATTCTGGCCTTTTTTAGGTCCCAACAATCCCGGGATTCTTGGCAAATAATCCCGGTATTTTCGAGATTTGTAATTTGCACTGATGCCAATAACACAAACTCCTTTTGTTGACCAGTGTTGGCTATATTTCTTGGTTTTATTTATTTAATTAATATTTCTGTATAAATTATTTTCTAGAGAGTAAAAACAATCATATTTCAAAATGGTTGTGGTTTATAAAGCAATCGCATTTCTGGCTTGTATAATTCAGGACGAATGGATAAGGATCGAGCCAAGAGCTTGTGTAGGTAAATCCAATTATTGGCAGCAAATGTCAGTTACGCGATTTTGCAGAATGACGGTACGCGGTTTTGTACTTTAAACGACGATACACACAAAATAATCAAGGCACTCGCGAAATCATGGGCCAAAGTTGAGGAAAAGTATGGATACCGAATTAAAGAGAAAATTCTGTAGAACTTAAACAGATGAATTTTTTTTTGTGTATAAGGATTTAATTTAATTTAAATTTAATTTTTTTTTTAATTCTAAAGAAATTTCCTCTTTCATTTGGTTCCCACATATTTATTTTACATTGCACTGCATTTTTAAAATAATTTTTGGAATCAATCATATATTTGAAATTACAAAGAAATATAGACAAAACTGGTAAAAGTACGGCATTTCTTTTATTTCCACCTCTAGTATGAATATATGAAATTTTTTCAACCACAAAATACATTTGTTGACTTAAATTTCTTATTTTAATGATTGGAGAGCTTCTCAAACTATATTGAAGGAAATTTTTTTAAATTTAAGATATTGAAAAATAATGAATGTCTAAATCCTGGACTGATCCCGGGATCCCGGCATTGTGCTAACGAGAGCCCGAAAATCCGGGGTTATAAAAAGCGAAAAAATTAACATCCCTAATACGCAACGTGCTTAGGGCATTGGCTGGTGTGGTGAACCATGATGGTGTGGTTGCACGCGTATGTTTTGTGGTTCAACAAAGTCGGAAATAATGATAAATTGCAATTTTGGCTGCTACCCACAAGCAAATGCAATCGCTTGCATAGATGTGGACGAAAGTGTATGTACATTAGGGTGGTCCAAAATAGCAAAGTCGGAATTTTAATGCTCTCACCCCCCAGGATTGTTCTATTTTGGAAAAGTATACCTTATTTTTTTTTATTTTGAAATCAAAGTTTTCCATGTATTTTTATATGGGAAAAATCAAATTTTTCGTAGAAATGGTAGAGAATTCTTGAAAATCAGTATTTTTCGATCGGAAAATTCTGGTTCTCTTCAGAATACTTCAAATAATAATTCACATTTTTTTATTGGTGGCCCGATCGGATTTTTCGGGGTTTTTGTGGGGTTTTGGCGGACCTATAAATTATAGTTGCGATGAAAAAATGGTTAAATAAATAATTGGGTATTATTATTGGCAATCTCCTGCAGATTGATTCTTAACTATTCTATACCATTTCTGCGAAAAGTTTTTTTTCCCACATAAAATACATATTTACCTCTAAATATTTTTTGATTTCAAAATACAAAACCATAAGGGTATATTTTTTTCGGTATAGAGCAATCCTAGGGGGTGAGAGCATAAAAAATCCAACTTGAATTGCCCCCCCACATGCATTTTTGGACCACCCTAATGTACATACATACGTTCATACCCAGTAGAAATCGGTTGTATGCATTCATGAAGTGAGTGAATTAGTGTGAACAATTCAGGCGTAGTCATAAATTTCCACGAATAAATTCAATTCCAGCGAATTGCAAGCGAACGTACGTTGTTGTTGTATAAAGTACGCTTCTTGATAAATTTGAAGTGGAATTTTTGAAATATTTTCAGTCATGTGTTGTGCGATAATATTTTCAGCACTAGCAGGCTTTTAGAAGATATGCATTTGTATCAGAATACATAGGGATACATATGTATCTTGTAAGAATGCTTTGATACTGTTCCATTAATGCATTTTTGTATGTTCATATGTCATATGCATACAGGAGTAGTACAAGTGTATGGTTAGAGTACGCATACGCTCTGAGAAACCACGCGTGTTAAATGTAACTGAAGGTTCATTTATACTGGCATGTATACACAGCAGCAAGATTCGTATGCATAAAATTTCTACTGGGTATATACATACACATAAATGCATAAGTTTTACTCATTGCCCATTGTGGTCCATAACTGAAATGAATGCACAATGATTTTTAACCCCGCATGAATTAAGGATTGATTTCAATTTTGTTTGATTTGACGTCAGCACGTTGCATTGATTAAAAT